GGACGTGGAAGGGGATGCGGCTGGGATTTTTCGGTGTCTTTCCCAAGCCCTTTTCGCCCGTTYGCAGCCGTGTAGGTGCGTTCGCTTCCCCCGACAGACCTTGGGCTCCCGGCGCCGCTCGGCTCCTCTGCCGATTCACAGCAGCCTTTCGGGGGATTTTTTAATCTCTTTTAAGATTTTTTTTGTTTTTTGCTGCTGCTGCTGACACGCTGTTTTTGTTATCTTTTATCACAGAAACGGTTTATTAAGGGGTTGAGGCAGTACGGCAAGAACTTCTTCAGAATCCGAAAGGAGTTGCTTCCCAATAAGGAGACCGTAAGTACATTTGGACTTTATGTAATTCGCTGTTTCTCTCTCTGCTTCGCTGCTTGATCTTGCGAAACTCTTTCCTTTTCACCCCGAATTCTCCTCAGATAAACGGAAGGGAAATGCACAGCCAGCCAAGGCAGCTGCTGGTTTTTAGCGCAGTTTTTAGGTCTTGGGGTATGAAAGATGTTACATAAAATAATCGTCACGGCTGGCCGGAGCCGCTGAGCCTGGGTGAAGTGTGTTTATGGAGACCAAATCTAATTTTAAATTCTGACATTATGACGGGATAATATATTCTGTGTCATCCAGTCGGGCTCGAATGGCATCGCGTAATTAAAGAAAACCTAAACCAAAACAACATCTGATGGGGTCGGGCAGGCCGAGGGCTGCGCTGCTGCTGTGACCCGCACGGTGCTGGGGCTGTGTTTAACTCTTCCCAATCCATGGAACTCGTGTGTGGGGATGGATCCATGGCTCTCCCCAACTTCACCGGGGTTATATAACTGTCATTCCACCCCAAATCCCGGCAGGGCTCCAGGGACACGGGCAGGGAGCAGTGGGGGACTCCTGCAAGGGACACAGGGTTTGGGAAGCCTTGGGAATCCAGTCAGCTTTTCCATTTGTCCTAAAATGAGCTTTGCTTTCTGTTCTGCAGGTGTCCTTTAAMTGCAGGGAGGGTTTGGGAAAGTGGTTTCATTTTTGTTCTGCATTTAGAAAGGAGGTAACTCCATAGAAATGGAGTTGGACTGTTTTCTAGCGGCATATTAGTGATCTGGAAAACAGTGATTTAAAGCCTAACTGATTCTTTAGACTTTTGTAGGGGTGGAGTTTGGGTGTGCAGTGGGGAAGAGCTTTGCTGTAAGAATATTTTAAAACGTCTCAGCTTCTGTAGGATGTTTCCATTCTCCTCCCAGAGGCTCTTGTGAGACAGTGCTGTGATAACACAAATCTTTTGGTGGTAACTAGTAACACTGTGTGAGTTAGAAAGGAGAGGGAGGATGAGATAATTACAAGTTAACTCATTCTAAGGAGAAAGAAAACTGAAATTACTGATCAGGTGTTGGTGGACWTCAGTATTCTGTTGGATTTTGAGGCATGGAGGCCCAGTGCTGGAAAGGTGAGAACTGGGAAGGAATGCTGAGAYAGGATGGATCTTATCAGCATCTGACAAACCCAGCACATACCATGCCTTTCCTCTTTTCTTCAGAATATCTCCTGGAATGGATTTAGAACAAGTCAGTGTTTGCCTTTAGAAATGAATTCTGCTGATGGTAAAGTTGCTGAGCAGCAAAAGTCCTCTTCTGAGTTTGAATTACAGCAACTATGAAGTTTATTGCATTTTTATAAATTTAAGTTTATATTTAAATATGAAATGTGGGTGTTTTGTGGTGGAGAAGAACATTTTGTAGGGGGCAGAAAAAGAAAACATGAAAAATGGAGAGCAGGGGGCAGATATCTGTCTTGGGTTGTGCTACTTGACTTTTCTGTTGGAGCTTGTATATCAGGCTTAGGGGTTTGGTAAAAGTTTTGCAAGTGGTGTTAAACCTCACACAGGCTCTCGTTTTTCAGCTGTTATATTTTTGTTTCATTAGGCCCAATTTTTTACTACAGAGAAGACTAAATATTGAGTCTGAGCTGTGGGAAGTATCGTGTTGATGGGTTTGGGCTCAGGGGTTTTTTTAGCCCCTGTGGTAACTGATCTACAAATAACCTTTGACCTACAACGGGTTGTTTATAATCTCTGCTTCCTATTTTTGCCCACAGGCCTCACTTCTGCTTTCTCTAATTCCCAATCCTTTTCTGCCAAAATTTACAGCAGTTTTGCTATGGGAAGGCATTGCAGAATAAAGGCTACAGTAAATATTTGAYTGTCCGGTTTTACTTCTGTTCTTTAAAGTGGAATAATGAATAACGTAAATGACAAGGCTGTGGGATTAATTTGTCTGCATTTTTTCATCATCTGAATAATTTCAGATGCTTTGCTTGCCATTTTTGTGTTTGTGTAGTAACCCTGTAGCAATTTCAGAAACACCAGGGAAAGGCCTTATTCCCCTGCTCAGCCTCCATATTAACATAAGGTGAAACTTGAAAAAGTTGTTAGATGGATACAAAAGCACTAAAACAACTTCAGGATAGTTAAAAATGTGTCAGGACCATTCTTGGAGTGACTTGCCTTAGTGGCTCAGTACATTTGATTTATTAAGAGTTTTTCTTCCTGRTCACTGAAGGCTGTGGGGAGGGGAGCCAGGGGGTTTTGCCTCTGCAAACCCCACTAAAATTTAGGTCTCCTTATTATCATGATTTTTGTAAAATGTGTCCTTTCCTAGACCCTTCACTGGTGGAAAATACTCCCTAATATCACCTTAAACCCTGTGTTTGGAGCAAAGAAACGGTAGAAGATAAGGAATGCTACAGAAATACAGAATTCTTGTAGGGACCAGGCCTACTTTGTGTTAAATCAAGCTGAGGCTGCTGTGAAGAAAGTCAGGATATAGAGGTGACCATGACATTGTATTTCTTTGCTRCTTTGGGAAGGTGTAAAGTGGCCGTGGTGAGAGATGAGAATTAGGCCATCCTGTACTGAGCTTTCACAAGTGTGTTAGGGAATGGCCTATTTGAGTTGTGCCTGGGCTTTTTTTCCTCCCTAGTGCAGTAACTTTTAGGAAAATCTATTTGTCTTATCAGTATTTGGAATTATTAGGAAAATCAGTATTTGTCAATGTGTGTTTTGACTAGTTCAACACAGTGAAAATTCAAAACATTTTTTTGAATTATTTCTTCTAAGTGAGTAATCCTTAAGAAAAAAGCTTTGTGAAAGAGAATGTTTATTCCACATCAAGGGTGTGTTTGTTTGGGTCTTTGCTGGTTTATTTCAGATTTCGGGTTTATTTCCATGTTTATGTCCCCATGAGGGGTTCAGTGGATCGAGGCAGGCACTGCTTTAATGTTGGATCAGCATTAACCTTCTCACACTGTGAGAAAATGTGCCTCCATGCAGATGGGCTGTGAGATTTTAAATAAAACTTCTGAAACTTCCTTGTGTTCCCATTGAGCTGTCTGAAATCCACCTTTTCCACTATCCCCATGTGCCTTCCTTCCTTTTATCTTCCCTGGGTAGTTCCCCCTTAGTTGTGGTGCCTGACCCCACTGCTGAGCTGCCCTGCTCTCCTTTGGTTCATGCTCAGCAGCACTGCTGACTCCTCTTCATGGTAAGAASTTTAATTTTGGAGGCTTCTCTGTGACGTGAGCAGTTTTCAATAATTAGTTTCATTTAAATTCACATGTTGTGAGAATGGAAGGTGCACAGCTGGCAGCAGTTTCCTTAACTATCTGATTTGGCTTTAAATGTGGTTTTATTCCCCTCCCATCCACCCATTTTGGGATAATTTGCTAAAACTTTGTGATAATACAGGATTTTCTGAGTATTTAACATTCTGCTCTGAATTCTTTAGATGATTACACTGAGCTACTTGAATTTGAGAGTTTTAGAAGCAGCAGCGTTGTGATAGGCCTGAGATAAAGGTGCTTAAATGCCTCCAAGGTTGGGGATTGCCTTTCTGTGTTCATGGAAACAGCTTAACTCGGTGGTGGCGACGTGCAGGAGGTAAATAGAAACATGGAACAGACTGAGCTTGTTCAGAGCAGTAACTCCATCAGAGCAGGGGCAGGAGGTGCCAAGTCCTGGTGTCACCTTGCTGGGACCAGAGCTGGGTCCTGTTCTTCGGCCTGTCCTTGTGCTCTCACAAACTTTTGGAAGCCTCTGGGGGCAGTTTGAGTTGGTTTGAACTGTTCAAGGCCATAATCCCAGCAGAAATAGGATTGTTTGCCTCTGGTTGGGGTTCCTGCTGTTTGCTTTGTGTCAGGGGTGTTGTTTGAGCAGTGCAACTCCATCCTCATCCCCCAGAAATGGAGGGGATGTGTGTGATTGTCCCTTTGGCAGCTTCCCGAGGTTCAGGAGTGCTGTTATCCAGTCATGGCCTTCACTGCAGCTGAACTGAGGTTTTGGRGCTGCYTTGTCCTTCATGGGCTTGGGCCTGAGTGCTGTGGGGCTCTTGTGCAGGTTCTGAGAGCTGAGGGTGACCTTGCTTTGGGTGCTGTGTTCCTCAAGGGCAGTTCATGGTACACTCACTGTGCCCAGCTCTTGGTGCCRTGCTCTCTGTGCCTCTTCTCCTCTCCTCTCAGCTCCTGAGGCTTAGCAAGGAGCCCAGGAGGAGGACAGGGGATCTTTGTGCAGGCACACGGGCTCCGGGCTCATTCTGTTCTGCATTCCCCCGTTGAGCACAGAGGTATCTGCGGTGTGTGTGATTTTGGTTTGGCTGCTGAGCAAGGGATGACAAAGTGCAATCTTGCCTCTGGGTGGATGCTCCTTTATTTAGCTCTAAAGCACAGTGTAAACAGGAGTTATGAATATTGGCTGTTTCCTGAGATTGAAATACCTGCACCGTGCTGTATTTATGCACATAAGAGCTAAATATGCATCATTTCTTCAGGAAAAATGGTCTCTCTTCTGATAGTAAAATCTTTCTCTCCAAATTAAATGCTGCTGGGACTTACCTCAGAGACTAAATAAGCTGTGCTCTGTTAATGTTAGGAGACAAAATGAGTGCAGTGTGAGCTTTCAGCATAAACTTSTGTTTAATTTTAGATTGGGGTTTAGATAAACAATTTTATTCTTGCCTCATTAATGCTTAATCTTGTGTTACATAATACACAATATTGGCTTCCTGAGTAGCTCTTAAATATAGTGCAAGTGTGTGTTAGCTGAAAGGTCAGYGCAGTTGCCATATGTGCGGGCTGGCAAGGTGTGTGTCCCTCTGAGGACAGACGGAGCCCTCCTCATGTCGCTGCTCGTGGCAGCCAACAGCCTCAGGAATATTTGTGCAGAACTCTCCCGAGCYTCTGAAAGGTACAGCTTTTCCCTCGACACAATTGTTCAAATAGCAGCTTGCCTTTGATCAGAGGAGGGGGATAATTAGATGAATATCTCTTGGTCTGTTGGTATAAAG